AATCACGAGTTCAGGAGATCGAGACCATCCTGGCTAACACGGTGAAACCCTGTTTCTAATAATATAAAAAATTAGCTGGGCATGGTGGCATGTGCCTATAGTCCCAAGCCACTCTGGAGGCTGAGGCAGGAGAATCGCTTGAACCTGGGAGGCAGAGATAGCAGTGAGCCGAGATCACACCACTGCACTCCCGCCTGGCAACAGAGCAAAACCCCATCTCGAAAAAATAAAAATTTTAAAAATTAGCAGGGCATGGTGACATTTGCCTGTAGTCCCAGCCACTCAGGTGGCTGAGGTGGGAGGATCACTTGAGCCCAGGAGTTTGAGGCTTCAGTAAGCCAGAGTTGTGCCACTGTACTCCAGCCTGGGCAATAGAGTGAGATAGTGTCTCCTCTATTTTTTTAATTTTTTTTTTTTTTGAGACAGAGTTTCACTCTTGTTACCCAGGCTGGAGTGCAATGGTGCGATCTCGGCTCACCGAAACCTCCGCTCCCGGGTTCAGGCAATTCTCCTGCCTCAACCTCCTGAGTAGCTGGGATTACAGGCACACGCCACCATGCCCAGCTAATGTTTCGTTTCACCATGTTGACCAGGATGGTCTCGATCTCCTGACCTCGTGATCCACCCGCCTCGGCCTCCCAAAGTGCTGGGATTACAGGCTTGAGCCACCGCTTCCAGCTGATAGTGTCTCTTTTTAAAAAAAAATTTTTAAAGGCCAGGCACAGTAGCTCACACCTGTAATCCCAGCACTTTGGGAGACTGAGACAGGTGGATCATGAGGTCAGGAGTTCAAGACAAGGCTGAGCAATATGGTGAAACCCTATCTCTACTAAAAATACAAAAAATTAGCTGGGCGTGGTGGCACATGCCTGTCTGTAGTCTCAGCTACTCCGGAGGCTGAAGCAGGAGAATCACTTCATCATGGGAGGCAGAGGTTGCAATGAGCCAAGATTGTGCCTCTGCACTCTAGTCTGGGTGACAGATCAAGACTCTGTCTCAAAATATATATATACATTTTTTTACTTGATATTAAAAAAATCCAGGAGGGTCTGGGTACAGTGGCTCATGCTTGTTATCCCAGCACTTTTGGAGGCTGAGGTGAGGGGATCACTTGAGTATGGGAGTTCAAGATCAGCCTGGGCAACATGACAATATCCCACCTCTACAGAATGTAAAAAAATTAGCTGGGTGTGGTGACGTGTGCCTATAGTCTCAGCTACTTGAGCAGCTGAGACAGGGTCATTTGAGCCTGGGAGATGGAGGTTGCAGTGAGCTGAGGTTGCAACCTTTACTCCAGTCTGGAGGACAGGAGTGAAACCCTGTCTCTCTCTCTTTTTTTAATCTGTCTCTAAATAAATAAAAATAAAAATCCAGGAGAGCAGAGTACAAGCTGTGGTAGCATTGGAAGTCATGGTAGGACAAAGTTTAGAAAGTTTCTTTCACTCTTTGACAGAGTATTGGTTGAAATGATTGATGCCAAAACCGTAACCAAAGGAGGCATTATGCTTCCAGAATAATATCACAGAAAAGTATTGCAAGCAACAGTAGTGTTGACAGTTGTTGATGAATTGAGCTCTAAAGGAAAGGGTGAAAAAATTCCACCAGTTAGTGAGAACGTTAGAGATACAGTTCTAGAATATAGGGGCACCAGAGTAGTTCTAGATGACGTTTTCTTTCTTATTTAGAGATGACAACATTCTTGCAAAGTATGTAGACTGAAATAAATCACTATTGAAATGACATCAATGTGAAGCTGTCCATTCCACTGAAGTTCTGATATCTTTCATTGTGTAATTTCCATGTCTCTCTCTTATAATAAACGAATAATATAATTAATGATAGAAGTAAAATCCAAATGCTGGCCGGGCGCGGTGGCTCACACCTGTAATCCCAGCACTTTGAGAGGCCGAGGTGGGTGGATCACTTGAGGTCAGGAGTTCGAAACCAGCCTGTCCAACATGGCGAAACCCCGTCTCTACTTAAAATATAAAATTAGCCGGGCATGGTGGTGCATGCCTGTAATCCCAGCTACTGTGGAGGCTGAGGCAGGAGAATCACTTGAACCTGGGAGGCGGAGGTTGTAGTGAGCCAAGATAATGCCACTGCACTCCAGCCTGGCCAACAAAAGCAAAACTCCATCTCAAAAAAAAAAAAAAAAATCGAATGCTGGCATTGTCCAGAAAAAACTTACAGGTGTGTTTATAATTGTTATAAAGGTGAACTGCTGAAACTTGTTCAGTGAAATATTTTGATTTGATTTGAATTAATGCTTCAGTTTTATATTAGAAATTCACACACAAGTTAAAATAGAAAAACTGCCAATACCTGATTTCTGTCCCGTTTTTCTACTCATAGTCTTATATGTAGTTACCTTTTGACCCCATAGGGAAAATAATATATATATCTAACATAGGGAGCTACAAATAACAGAAAGAAGAAAAAAAGTTTTTTTTGGACAATGAAATGTTTCTTGATCATAAGCACATTATCCATGTAATTGGCATGCTAGCTGGATGTCTTTTGGCATACTTGTTACATATTTGGCATGAGTAGCACAAAAGTTGATGTCTTCGTAAGGGCGCATCAGATAGGCCTCACTTGCCGCCTGCAAAGCACCAGTAGCCGGAAGTGTAGATTTGTTTTGAAGTCTGAGCAACTTCTTACATCAGATGCTGGAAAGGAAGTTTGCTAATCAGAAGTTCAGTGGCCTTCTCATGAGATCTGTTTTCACGGAGTACCACAATACCAGACCTGTATCAATGAGGTATCTTCACTCTTCGAGTAAAGGGTATACTCTTGTGAGTGACTTCTGTAGCCAGTTGCTTCATGGGTGCGTTACCAGTGGATTAATTTGCTGGTAATCTGCCTTGTACTAGTCATGATCTAGAGACCTCCTTACTTACCCACTTCTCAGCAAGCTAGAGGTAGCACAGGCATTAGAAATGAGGGCACCACTGTGGCAGGCAGTGGCTGAGGACACTTAAATGTAGTGCTTTCTTATTATTATCTTACCTAAATCTTACAGCCTTGAGCAGGAATGCAGGTACAATTAATACTCTTCCATTATAACCACAAATTTAAATTAAGTAGAACAGGTCCTTTGACCAACTGGTCATTCTTTAGTCTAATAGTGTTTTTAGCCTTGTTATTGGGGTTTGTTAACTCTAGTTATCAATGTTTTATTAAATTATATTTATGATTAAAAATAGAGTGAGACTCGTGTGTCTGTGTGTGTGTGTCTTAGTCTCGTTTTTAATTTTTTTTTTTGGAAACAGGGTCTTGCTATGTTGCCTGGGCTGGACTTGAACTCCTGGGCTCAAACTGTCTTCCCACCTCAGCCTCCTGAGTAGCTGGGACTACAGGTGCCCACTTTTGTTTGTTTAAACAGCACTTAAGGGTCCTTTTATAGGACTTCTCTTGAAGATAACTCTCTCCAGTTTTAGTGGCCCAGAATGGCTTTCTCCTTGGCTTACTCAATCCAGTAAATGGTTGGCAGAAAATAATATAAGTGTGTCTAAGTACTAGTGAGGGATAATCTAAGGAAGGGAGCCTCAGCAATTCCTATCCTTTACCTTTAACTCCTAATCAACAAGGTGCTATTTTTGGGTTCAGGTCCCAGTGAGCAACAAACCAACCATAGGGATGAATTTGATATTAAGGAGGCTGGAAAGAACTTTAGGACTTGGACTGACATCCTGGTGGACACGAGTTACCTGGTTTAGATTGTTCAACTATAACTCCAGTGACAGCTTCCCTTAGGTTGCTCAGATCATAGTATGAATATTAAGTGTGCTAAGTAGTAGCTTGCTTGTAAGTAAAAACTCTGGCTTTTGATCTCTCATGCTGTATTTAGTAGCATGAGAACATGGAACAAGCACCATTTTCTGCATTTGGAAGAGATTTATTTATTGAACAAGATTATAACTTACTGGAATTATCCCTAGAGCTTGTAATCAAGCTTGGGCTTTCAGCTAATATTTTCTTTTTAAATTTTACTCCTTTTTTTTCCTTTTTCCTCTTTAACTTATCCTTTACGTTAGACAAGATGATGTTTTTATTTCTTTAATGAGGGCCAGTAATCTACAGACCTACACAAGAGTTCTTAGAAATTTTTTTTCATTGTTAAAACCAGGCTTTCCTAATTTAAGTATTATCTACCTTGACTTTACTGTTTTGCCTCCAGTATAACAGCATTATAAAAGGAGTCATACCTGTAATCCCAGCTCTTTAGGAGCCTGAGGTGGATAGATCATCTAAGGTCTGGAGTTCGAGACCTGGCCAAACGTGGCAAAATCCTGTCTCTACTAAAAATATAAAAATTAGCCAGGTGTGTTGGCACACACCTGTAATCCCAGCTACTTGGAAGGCTGAGGCAGGTGAATTGCTTGAACCCGGAGGGCAGAGGTTGCAGTGAGCCAAGATTGTGCCACCGCACTCCAGCCTAGGCGACAGAGTAAGACTCTATCTCCAAAAAAAAAAAAAAGGGAGTATATTATATGTAATTGTCTTGAGGAAATTATTTATCCTGTTAGGTGAAGAAATAACTGTTAAAAGGTAGAACTGTGAACCTTGTCAAGAAGTTTGTCTCCCTGAAAGTTTCAAGAAGCTTTAGCCCAAATACTTTGTTTTTTTGTTGGTGTTGAGAGTCTCACTCTGTTGCTTAGGCTGGAGTGCAGTGGCGCAATCATGGCTTATTGCTGCTTTCACTTCTCAGGCTCAAACAATCCTCCCACCACAGCCTCTCAAAGTATTGGGATTACAGGCATGAGTCACCACACCTGGCTCCAAATATTTTTCATTGAGCACCTTATCAATGTTCTAGGTCATGCTAGTCATTTTCTTGTTTCTTTAGACTCTTGATTTAGGTTCCTCATCTTGCTAATACTCATGATCATATTATTTATAAATGAATTTGGATTAGAAGGGGAGTGATATGTTACTATGGTATAGATACAATGTGGATATTGTTACATAGTGACCTTTTTCTTGTTATTTTTCAGTGTTCCATTGGCAAGCTACAATAATGGGGCCAGTAAGTATTCAGATTAATTGCAGAATAAACAGTTTATGTAATTTACTTATTTTAATCCCACTTTTCTTGTCATCAACAGAATGACAGTCCCTATCAGGGTGGAGTATTTTTCTTGACAATTCATTTCCCAACAGATTACCCCTTCAAACCACCTAAGGTAATTGGAATGTGGCAGTTGTTTTTAATGTACTTTCTACAATACTAATAAACTAGTTTACAAAGTTGCCTTTCTTTCTGTAGGTTGCATTTACAACAAGAATTTATCATCCAAATATTAACAGTAATGGCAGCATTTGTCTTGATATTCTGCGGTCACAGTGGTCTCCAGCACTAACTATTTCAAAAGGTAACAATGGGTATTTGATATCAAGATAAAGGATAAAGCAACCGTGTCTTTTTGTCTTTTTTAAGTTATTTATTTTTGAAAAGATTACTCATGTTTCTTTGAAGAAGAGGTGGCAATTCTTATTCTGAAATGGACCTTGAGAACTGGAAAAGAGTTGGATTTTTCAAGCAAAAGTATTCCTTGATGTGGTGACTAGTCTGTCAGTTGTGCTACTCAAGCATAGTTAGAAGATAGACACTGGGCCGGGCGTGGTGGCTCACGCCTGTAATCCCAGCACTTTGGGAGGCCGAGGCGGGTGGATCACAAGGTCAAGAGATCGAGACCATCCTGGTCAACACGGTGAAACCCCGTCTCTACTAAAACTACAAAAAATTAGCTGGGCATGGTGGCGCATGCCTGTAATCCCAGCTACTCAGGAAGCTGAGGCAGGAGAATTGCCTGAGCCCAGGAGGCGGAGGTTGCGGTGAGCCGAGATCGCACCATTGCACTCCAGCCTGGGTAACAAGAGCGAAACTCCGTCTCAAAA